GTCATTGTAAACTAATTTAGGCGTATGTCACCACTCCCGCCTACACCCTGTTGTGACAGTCTTGTGACGGAAGATGGAAGTGATGAATAATACGGTGCTGCAAGAGGGTTCTTAACAATTCAAGGATCTTCACATTCATAGCTGACGGTCTAATTGGACAGACAGTTCTTAAACGGACTCCCGGAGGAGTAAGGATTAAGGCAGACAGAGAAGATGGTGTCATATGAAGACACATCTCAAACGCTCGCTGCTGGAACAGTAACCGCCCGTTTGTGTGGTTCTGGGATGCGGATGACACATCAGATCTACTGGCTTCTGGAATTGGAAAAGTCGGACAAACAATAAACACATTCCAACGAACGCTTTTACATCTTTCTCTTACTCGCCTCCCCCTCCTCCCCTCCCCCTCCTCCTCCTCCCCCTCCTCCTCCTTCTTCTTCTTCCTCTTGGTCATCCTCCAGGTAACTAAAATGTGCTGCACTACAGCGATAGACCCGAACGGCACCAAACGCTCTGTAGACGAAACCTTTTGCTCCACACCAAACATCCAGCACAGCCTCGTCTTCAATCGACGTAACACCGACTTGCCATTTGGTGTGGGATGGAGGAGAGAGTTAGGTCGCTTCGACTCAATCCGAGAGCCCAGTCCCCTCCCACTGCAAACTACTTAACCCGCTTTGAAAATATCCTGACTCGCCAGCAGTCTTGGAAGGTTGTCTACTGATGACGCTTGTCAGTCCTTCTGAATGGGAGGGGTCGGACAACCACTTCTCCTCCGCTCTATGACACCCATCATTCATGAAGTGCCGAAGAGCAATGCTTATTCCTACCACCGTTTCATTGTGCCTCTTAGATTTGTCGCCTTTCTGCACATTTGTTCTGTTATTCGAAGGGGCCCCACCTCACTCGCCCTCACCCCCCACCCCCACCCTCCACATAAATAATGCATTATTGCCGGCCTCTGGGCGGTTATTGTCGACGTGAGGGAGAGAACACTTGACTTAGATAAACACAGCCGTCAGTATGGTGATTCATTCAACACCGACCGCCTGTTGACGGCTTGCAAATATCACGAGGTTGTTCCGCTGAAGCACAAATATCCATATCAACTTCCGGGCTGGACCTATAGGGTTCATACCTAAAGAGATTGTTTTATTTAGCAACAACAACGCTATTTTGGTGATAAGGAAGATGTACTTTCCAGCAAATGTTAGGATGAGTAAACAAACACTCTATAGTGTTCGGTTTGTGTTTATAAAATAGACAGTCTGACATGAAAAACGGTCAGCGAACAGGAAAAAACAAAGACAAAGGATTTTCTCCAGGTTAGCCCACTAACTTCGGAGGAGATAAAAACGCCAACGGTCAAAAACTACCAGAAATCACACGGGGAAGGCTGGGGGACTCACTGATGAGCTGAACTCCTCATGTAGTGACAGAATATCAGCGAAACACTTGTCTGGACTTTTAGCCCGTATCCGGGCCGTCACTGAATATTGTCCTACAAAGAAGGGAATTATATATCCATAAGAGGATCAATCACTTCTTGCTGTTTCGCTTGTATCGCCAACAGTCTCCACACACGCCTTAAATGAGTAGTCTGGAATCTGCTGTTCTCACGGACAGAGAGGCTGCAATTAAGAACTACGTAATCTGCTATTTTGCACAGAGTGGCCCTATATAGGCGTCAAAATGAGAATTTGTTATCCTATGGCGTTCTTACACCCTTTTCTTTGTTTCGCATCTCCTTTCCAGTCTTTTTGGACATGCGTTTTAACCGGCAAGACTGACTTTTCCAGGAACGGTCCTCCCTTCAATTTGCGGAGATGAACTCTGAGACATCTTGAAATGGTGATCAATAATTTTTGAGCTTCCGTCCGGACCGGCTAAACACAGTCGCACAATTTTTTCTAATTATAGACAGACGGTCCTCCCTTGGACGTTTTCCTTATAATGGCCAGACTATTTATTCACCATGGGCAAGGGTAACAGCTCGGGCGCTTTTTTAAAGTCCTTTTGACAGGCTAGCCTGTCATAGTCTGCATTTGCTGCTTGTACACGGTGAGAATGGCGTGTGATTGACGGTCATCAGTGCGCGACCTAAAACCATCATCACCACCACCACCACCACCACCAGCACCACCACCAGCACCACCACCAGCACCACCACCAGCACCAGCACCACCAGCACCACCACCACCATCACCATCAGCACCACCACCAGCACCAGCAGCACCAGCACCACCACCACCATCACCACCAGCACCACCACCACCACCACCGCAACCGCCGCCGCCGCCGCCAGCACTATCGACTGGCTTCAGCCGGAACAAAGCCACCCGTATAACTGGGGGAGAATCCTACCGTCGTTTCATGTCTTCCGTTTTTATGAGTAAAACTAGACAATATTCACCCTGATCAGAAGAAGAAGCGATCGCTGGAACAAGGTCTTTATTCGCCTGACGTTTCGGATTCTCACTGGAATCCATCATCAGAAACCCTTTTCTGCGACTGTCTCTGATGATGGATTCAAGTGAGAATCCGAAATGTCAGGCGAATAAAGGCCTTGCTCCAGCGATCGCTTCTTCTTCTGGTCAGCTGGTTCCTGGAACTGGCATCTTCGCTTGTATCGGTTATATTCACCCTGCCAGTCTCTGGAGGAACTGCCTTGGGAATTATTTTTTTGAGGTCTTTTGTCGCCTTAGAAATTGATGCGCCAACTTAGAGCGAACCCTCCGAAATGGGAATGGAGGTTTGAGCCAAAATCTATTAGCGTCAGTCGGGCAACCGCGTAGTATTCATTCAGAGGATGAAGATGTGACCGCTGGAACAAGAACTTTATTGACCCGACATTTCTGACTGTCACACGGATCCATCCTCGGAGAAAGTCGCAGATACTGATTCTAGAAGCCTAAAGAGCGCAGTATTTAAAGGACACAGGTTCCAAGCAATCACATGCCTCGCGTTCATCGCTGGATATCGTATTTGATGCGATGGTTGCTTGTCGGTCCTTATCCAAACCGGTAATTGCCGTGACTTAATCATAGTTGTTAACTCCGCCCTGGGGTGACGATTAGTCGGCCAAGTGGCTCACTATCATCAGAGCGATTGGTCGCTCGCGCCCTCCCCGCGTGGCTAATTGCTTTGCCCAGGCAAAATCGTAGCAGAGAAACTGAAGGCGGAAAGTCATTGCGCTTGGTACTCGAATGCGAGCCGGAGAATCATGACTCAAGCAGCTCGCGGCTCACGCGGCATTCACCTCCTGAGATAATTTCGGCCCAAGTCTCGTCGAATTCATTAGCTGCTAACAAGCAGTCAGTAGTATACACACGTTGTGTGATTCACCATACTGGCAGCCCCGGTATTAGCCGCTTCATGACACAGTTGTATAGGGTTCGACTCATTAGTGGATCGCCCCAGCGCACCCGCGTGCTTTCTGGCATAAACTCTGGAGTTGCCAAGCTTGTGAACTCGTGGTAAGGTCTCGGAGTACGCCTTTTCGGATGTGGCCTGAAAGTTAATGTGAATAACTAAGTTGAGGTCTATCAGCGTCGGCTGAAAAATCAATCCTCGGTGCGGAAAAGTCGCGGTCAAACTACTTATATAGCGGTGCACTGAGTGAGATCTAATTGTGAAGATGACGGTAATTAGGCGGATTATTATCAGAATTCATATTACGGTGCGGGTGGCTTGAATGGACTGACCTTGGCGAAACATTGTGAGGCGACGTAAAAGGGCGTACTACTTTAATAATTACCCTCTCACTAGCCTCATTCGAATACACGGCAGAAAAGGCTCGCGGTAGAAAGCTGGCAAGCGACAGCTTGCGAATTTACGGGAGAGTTGAATCCATCCTCATCATCCCATCCCGAAAATGATGTTTACGGATTACGATCAGGACGTTTCACGTGTTTCCGTGCATGCTGTGAACAGCTGCTCGTTTTCGCGGAAGTTGGGATCGAAAAGTAGGCGTCTCCACCCAAAGGTCCTTCGTAATCTTAGAATGACCCACACCTAATTATCCCCTACACTATCCAACCCGTGCCGGGGAGTTTCTGCGACTGAAACCATCACAGTCGCCGGGACACAGGGGGCGGGGGTGGGGAAGGGAGGCCGTCCCGTGAGGGCATCAGGACACCACATCGGGGTTGGTGTCCTCAAAGGGCACAAACATATCTCCCCCTCTGACTGACGCTAGTGAGTCACGGAGGCCGGCTTCTCGACCCCGTGACAGGAGGCTGGCCTCAGACCTTGTCGTTCAACTAGGCCACACCTCACCGGATGGGCATGTTGGTGACCTTGCAGACTGGAGCTCCGTTATGCCTCTCCCCGCGGCGGATGTGCGTGGTCGGAATTCAGGCCAGGGATGAGTGGGTGACTAATGCAAATCGGAAGCGCCCTCGGTAGGTGCTCGCGGCTGCCGGGGTGATGAATTTATCCCCTCGCTCGTCCCTCCTGCCCTCCAGAGAGGGGAAGGAGGTGTGCTTGACTCGGGCTGATGGTGGATGAGTTTGGGAGGCAGGCTGTGATCGGAGCGGAAAGGGAAGAAAGCGAGTTAAATCCACGCCTCATTGACCGGCGCGGGCTAATGGACTGGTTTGGCAGCAAGTACAAAGGCCTGGACTCGCTCACAGTTTACTCGCGTGCGTATATACGTCGAAGGGTTGGTAAACGGCCTCTCGCACAGCGTTGAGTCAAGCCTGGTAATAGAGACGGGGTGAGGGAGAGAGAGAGTAGAGTGGGTCCACTACCTCCGTGGAGTTGGCGGAATTAATTAGCCCGTGATGACTGTTAATGGCCTGGTAATGCGTCGGCAACAATTAAGGCAGCATTCCTCTCATAGCGTCTGTCACAGTCACTCATGCGCCCCCAATGCTTGCATCGCTTTATGCAAATACGCGTCCTCGCCTATTTTACTCATCCTCACCTTCATCTCGTGCTGGCGGCTGGTGGTGGTGGCAGTATTAGTAGTAGTAGTAGTAGTAGTAGTAGTAGTAGTAGTAGTAGTAGTAGTAGTAGTAGTAGTATTAGTAGTAGTAGTAGTAGTAGTAGTAGTAGTAGTAGTAGTAGTAGTAGTAGTAGTAGTAGTAGTAGTAGTAGTAGTAGTAGTAGTAGTAGTAGTAGTAGTATAAAGGATAGGACGACGACCGTCTGGATACGGTTCTTAACGGCGAAACACCTTCAGCTGCATTTGCGGGCTCCATGCAATGGTCCTAAAATTACGTTAACTTGAGTGTAGCCAACCATTTGTGACTGAAAATGAAGCCGACCAGATGCGACCAGCTGTAATCCAATAGGGCAACCCTCACAGAGACGGTTGCTTAAGAAGATGGATTGCCGACAAGGACGGAGGAGACTGGAATGGACGTTTCTGACTTTTTAACGGCCAGCCGCACCCCAACCTCAGATCAGGAAGATCCAGCTGGTCATGGAACAATCAGCGGTTCACGACCCTTCGATTGCGATGAGGAATGTGCGAACTCGCACGAGTGATTAGGGATGGTGAAAGTGGTCCGAGAAGGCCACTGTACCATCCCTTGTCTATGTCGGTGACACTTGTGAATTCCTGGGGGCTGGAGGTGCTGTGAGTGTTAAAAGAAACCTCCTTCTGGAAGACATTCATTTGTCCAAGTCGTCGATGTTTTTACGCATTAATGAAACAACCCAACCTAGTCAAGGCTGCGCACTTTAGGCAAAGGTCAATTTCCTAAAGCACTAATCTGAGTAATGTTCGCATCGACTCCACGTTGTACGGCTAGTGGAAATCGTCAAATTGGGGGAAAAATATATCAAAAGTAAACCTTTTTTGTCGCAAACTTAAAAAAAAATTACTGAAGATAAAACGACATTTTCCTGAAATTAGGAGGTTGGGTCACGCTATCCGTTGTGAAGACTATGTCATATGGGTCCCTTTGCTGAATCTGGTAATTTGCATGGAGCTCAACTTATGGTAGAAAATGTCCGAAAAAATGAACTCGGCATTGGAACTTCGGAAAAAAAGTCGACTGGCTAGTTTGGAATGCTTTACATATGCGTCAGATTCGTTGATTATTTTCTTTGCGCAATGTGTCTTTGCTGGGTGGACTTCGTTAGAATAAATTGTATGCTTCGAAGCGGCCACAATGGATACACGCACACCACCACACACCCCCTTGCGGCGATGTCGATAGCACTTCTCGATTGATTATTACCAATGCCCATGCCGCAGCCGGTGAGGGGTGTAAAGCTTCGCCCCCCCCCCACAGTGGAACGGGGTCACCGGTGCTCCGTCCTGTGCTCACATAGATCGGTACACTGCAGTATCATGTGACTGAATAGCTCCAATCTCAGCCGACATGGCATACCGCTATAGCACAGTGTTGGCGACGTTGATCGATAATTGACTGACTGAGGTTCGAACTTCGAGTGCGCCTACATTTGATTGGCCGATGAATGGTGATAGTTACTAGTACACTAGAAATGACCATTCTACTGGGTGAGGTTTGGACATGCAGCCCCACTAGATTGATACCAAATGGCTAGCTTCATAAGCAATTTTAGTAGATATGATTACGCCAATTTTACATAGGTCGCGTATTTGCGCCTACCTTCCTCTTTTAATGCAGCGAGTGACTGTGCGTCGGTGTAGGGAGACCTAATACGCCAGCTTAGGTAATTTCAGATATCAGTTTACACGCGCTTCCCGGCGCGTGCTTCGAGCTCCGCTTGCTAGAGGGATTGTTCGGACGGACTGGAACTGCGTCGGGTAAGCTATAGTGGCCATGCACTGCGAATTAGCACACAGTTCCCTCCGTGGCCATTCAGTTCTGATTGCACCTTCCTTACCCTCTTAATCCAGCGAGTGGCTGTCTCGGGGAGAGTGTGTGTACATGCCGCTTTCGGTTATACCAAGTATCGGTTCACACGCGCTTCCCTGCGCGGGCTTCGAGATCTACTTGCACTCTCTTTCCCTTCCTAATCCAGCGAGTGGCTAAGTTAGGTATAGAATTGTGCAATGATTTACCGTACTAACAACACAGGTATTAGCTAAAAGCCCAGACACGCGTGTTTCGCCGATCTTATGCCGCTGCCTGAGGCAGCTGCGGGGAGTTCGGCTCGTCAGTGGGTCCCTCAGCTTTCCCCGTGTGTTTTCTGGTAATGTGAACTCCAGTTTCAACTTGCCTTGTTTAATTTCCGAGGAAACTAATGCGCGAACTTGGAGTAACTCTTTCGAAACAGACCTTTTTAGGCACTGTCCGAAGTTTGATATGCAAGAATTACTCCAAGTTCGCGCATTAGTTTCCTCGGAAATTAAACAGGGTAAATTAGGTATGTTAGCTAAAATTGCTTTAGGAAGCTGACCATGCGGTATCAACCATGTGGGGTTTCAGGACCAAACCTCACCTTCTACTGTTCTCATGATTGTCATCAACACTCTTTCGTGAAAATGACGTATGGAACCATCATAGCACTGATGCTTAGAGCGCATCCTATCGGCTCTTCGATGTCTGTTACAGTCGTAAAGTCCATCGTCTAGCGTCTCATCTGAATCTCATTGACCTGACATGGGAGCGGCGTTTGCCGATCTATCGTAATTTCATAATGGAATTGCTCCCTTTTTCGTTTTACAGCCGGCATGCTTCGGTGAACGCCATTAACATCTGACTTCCAACATTTCCGGTCTCCTCAGCTCTCAAAACTTGGATCCGTGACTCAAATGGTAGACTCAAATGGCCGATGATCACTGACACGAGTTATAAGGTCCGATTTTCCCTATTCTAACGGCAGAAAACAGGCCAAAAATAGTAATTGCAGTGTCCTGCCTATTTGTATGCAACGTTTCTCCAGCAGTGGAATAAGCTGAGTGATCAGGAACTGCGGCGGTATTCTGCCACAGGCCCTCATGGAGGCGCATGTGACCGAATAGGCCCATGCGATGGCTGAATGTGCAATGACAGTGCCAGCAGTTGGGGGGATAGCGTCCGGTGTATGTTGATTCTCCAGGCACTGGTTCGCCAGTCTCTGTGCGATGGATCCCCAAGTAACCGACCAAGCCGATGTGTGGGGTGAAAGTACGGTGACATTGTGGAAAGGATAGGTTGGGGGATGTGGGGTCGGTTGTTGTTGTGGTGATGCTGTTAATGGTGGGTGCACTGGTCGATGGGAATTTTATTGGGCCGGAGATGAGATGGATGGTTGATTTGCAAGGTGTGTTACGTGGGTCGGTACTGCGGTGAATTCCGCTCCTGTGAATACGCATGTGACCGAGTAGACCCGTGCCGTGCATGAAAGTGCATGGAAAGTGTGAACCGTGAAGGCGGACGCGGCGAATGTATGTGAGAGTCCCTGACGCCGGCGCGTCGGTCTCAGTGCGACGGATTCGCAAGTAGCCCACCACTGGAAGGATACACACGACCCCTGGAGTGTCAACGTGTCGGTCGCATACCTATAGGTGCCCGCTGTTTTAACTACCCATTAAGACCCTACTTCAGGGAGACAGTGTGGCCGCACGGGTTCCGAAGAGCACAAGCGATCGATGGCAAGGACTGGCTGGCCAGAAGTGTTTGATTTAAGTGTGGCCGAGGAGTGCCCCTGTCCCGCTCCCGACCGACTAACCAGCAAACGGCCTTAACGCTCCTTCCATCATGGCATGCTCCTGACCGCCTTTCTCCCACTCTAAATACAAACATATAATCACAGTGTAGTCTTGGAACGATAGCTGGCACGAGTGGGTTGTTTGCAGCACCAGAGCAGTGCACTGCGATATACTGTGGCATTTGCTCCTACAACAGGCCACGCGGTAGAGTCTCTGGACCAAGACATGGGCTAGATCTGTGTTTAACAAGCGTTGTCGAGAACTTGTACTTGTACTTGATACGGCTGCGATCATGCCTGATCTAGCCGGCCTCGATGATGTCCCGAATTGTACCTCTCCACGCGTCACGATCCGCGGCAGCAGATCTAGACAGCTCAACCCATTCCCTTTGCCAACGACGGAGACCGAATACCGAAGGTCCAAGAACCACCTCCATGTCTTGACGGACAGTGTCGAGCCAGGTTTTGAACTGACCCCCTCTTCGACGCCTCCAATGGGGCAACGGTGCCGGATCGAGGGCAGTAACACTGACCTCCTGAGGTGGACGACGAAGAACATGCCCGAACCACCTCAGTCGTCTTTCTTGGATGGCCTGAGTTATCCTCGCGATGTTGTCGCAGCGAGCGCGGACTATCTCATTTGAGACGAAGTCGGTTAACTTCACTCGAAGGATGATCCTCAAGCAGTGGTGGTCAAATACCTCCAGTTTTCGCTCATCCGCCACGCGCAAAGCCCAGCATTCACAACCGTAGAGAAGGACAGACCGGACAGATGCACGGTACACGCGAATCTTAGTGGAGATGGAGAGGTCACGTCGGTTCCACAGGCATTTCTGTAGGCTTGAAAAAACCCAGGGGGAATGCGCGACTATAACAAGTACCAACGCTGGGGTGTGTCGGCAGGCCCAGTTGGAGGCTCACGCTGTGCCAATTGGGCTACGTGACGCCCCCAATTTTCCTCGTGCGGTATAAAATTCTGGTCAGTGTACGTTACCGACCATGGGGTGTGGTGGCACGCCTAGGTGCGGGTTCGTGCCGTGCCAGCCATCTGCATACTGTCTCGCTTCCGGTCTTCCTGACTCTATTTCGTCACTGGGTCCAGGTGGAGGGGGGAGGGGGAGAGTGCGACAGATCCTACGCAAGCCCCTTCTCTGCTCCACCGTGTTGTGAAGCACATGGTGGGCATTTAGGCAACGACGGTCGGACTGTCATGGCGTAACTCCTCCGGTCTTTCACCTTTGGACTATGGATCCTAACTGAGCCTATACTTTGAGCCATAACCTCCCCCCCCCTCCAAAGTTTTTCTTTTGATTTTATTATGATTATTATCAATGGTATTATCATGTCCCGCGGCACTTGGCTCTCCCCTCCACTACCTAGTCCATTTACTAAAACCAACATAGTTTCCCCATCATTTTAAGACCATTAGTTGTACCATCCACTGTCAGCCACCTCTGACAATAATTTAATAAAAAACACAGGAATGTGAAGGTTAGGGTTCACAGTTCGACCATCGTTGCCGGCGATGTCCACCGTGTGCTCCACAGCAAGGTGAGAGCAGGCGCGGTGACTTGTGCATGAATTAACTTATGGTGGTAGTTGACTTGCACGGCATTTACCGCACTCCCTCCTCCTCCCCCACCTGGACCCGGTGTCAAGGCAAAGTCGAGAAAGCCAAAGGCGGGAGAGGGCGCAGGTGAGGGCCAGGGTTAACGTTAAAATTACGACGCGGGAATAGATGCCCCCTAGAATTTAGGGCAGGACCACTTGTATCACGCGGGAGCCTATTGCCATGTCCAGTTTACTGAGAAATCACAGGTTAAACTGGAATAAATACATCCTCTCCCCCCTTCCCCACAAAATCAACTGTCAAACCTCACTGCTCCCCCCAACTCGACAACCCCCAACGCCGCCCAAGATCACTGTTGAATACTGTTCAAAGCTACATGAACTGCGCCAGCAGGATGAACCCCCGATAACGTCATCCCATAATAGCGCGCACATTTCTAATTCGTACACTGTCCACCAGTCCCTGAGTCGTTTAAGTATTGAACACTGTCCCTATAAGCATACGCTGTTATGAGTAAATACTGTGCCATATCATTATGTTGCCGCATAAAGCTACTGCGTCTTCCTTTTTCTGCGTATGCTGTCACCAAGCAACTAAGTAAGGTGAGCATACTTAAAATGCATCATTTTCGACGTAGACAGTCAAGCGTCGGCTGAGCCGTTGTAGACTTAAGAGAATGAATACGATGAACGCGCTGTAGAAAAGGGTAAATCCCGAGGTCGATAATTAGGAGCAGACGTCTCTTGGAAGTAAGTAAGTAGGAACAGCGCAAGCATGGATTTCAGAGGGGAAGGGATGAGAAGTCTTTCATTCTTGCCAAACCCTCTCGCATTGTGCAGATGGAATGTTTGCGAATCAAGGGCGTACTTTGCTCCGACATGAGCGTCACCGTAAGAGCTGCCAGAAACTGATTCTGAAAATTCCGCCAATCAGGATTAACTTTTTTCTAAACAAAGGACCCGGAATGACCTTTTGATATTAATTTGTCGATGTGAGGCACGGAAATAGGCACTCTCGTATTGCAGGTGCATACACCCGTGCCCCAACCCTAATCCCACAACGAACCCTGACATTTGCCCTAACCTTAACCCTAATCCTGGCTTGGTCAGATGTGGTTATGTGGCCTCATCTGAAGTAAACAAACCCCAGCCACCTGTAATACGGGAGGGGTGGTAAGAGGGGTTATTACAGGTGGAGCTGGAGAGTGCACAGCCGACGAGGTCAAGTAGTTGTATGCAAAATAAAAGCTATTGGGAATGCATGGTTGCACTTTGAGTGGTTGAAAAATAGGTGCCCTAGTCCCAACCTTAACCGTAACCCCTAACCCTAACCCCAACCCCTAACTCTAACCCCTAGCCCATAACCATAACCCCTTACCCTAACAGTATTGTGTCCATCAGGTGGAGCTACATAACTACATCTTGCCTCTGGCTTTAACGCTAACAGTAAGCCTCCTGGAGTTTAGCGCAAATCCACCCGTAATGGGGGGATTCCTGTTCCCGTTATCTATCTTCGTTTTCTTCGATTATTGACTTTTCCAGGAATTGTTTATTCCTCCAGAATTGGAGGCGCGTTATGGCAGGAGAATAGGCACTGTGATGTTAGTACGGTAAATCATTGCACAATTATATACTACGGGCTGCCTGTTGGCGGTTTGTGAATATTAAGCGGTTATTCCGCAGCAGCTGATGGATTTCTGCTCAAATATTCATATCAAACTTCGGACCGTGCCTGAAAAGGCCCGTTTCGAAAGAGTTACTCCAAGATCGCGCATTAATTTCCTCGGAAATTAAACGAGGCAAGAATTGGCACTCCCTGCACTCCAGATGGCCTTGGGCTTCTTTCCGGTGGATATTTATAACCATGCCCTACTGAGGGTACTTCCCTATCACCATTTTTCGCGCACTCCGAGGGTCCCTGGGACAGAGTCCCGGGCTAACACGAACGTGCTGCGTCCAGGCCTTTCGTTGGAGCAATATGGCCCAGAAAAAGTGGTCACTGTGCGCGATAAAGTATGTTTTTCTCATAAAAAAAAACACAGTACATACTGCTCTCATTTCGTAAAGAAAGCATTCAGTTCCTCTATGCTCAATTCCCCGTCCTCGTTGGTGTCAAGGCGAGCCATGAATTGTCTCACGTCGTCTTCACGTAGAGTCTCGCCAATCTCCTCTTCCAGCGCGTGCTTGAACTCCTCAACACTGATCTTGCCGGAGCCATCCTTGTCCATGTGTTTGAATAGTTTTCGAACAGCGTCGGGAAAACTTAAACAAATCAGAGGTGGGGGAGGGCTCAATAGGCGCGATTACAGTTTTAAAATTTTACTTAGGGGTCAACCGCTTTGGGAGAATATCGTATCCTTCAAGAGTACATCCATAAAGTTTGGTCGTTAATCTTATTTGAATTTCTAACTACTGGTCCTGCGAACATTGAGTAAAGTATGAAACCACTGTTTATACGTTCCTACGTCTGTTGTCGTTTTATCACACTATCATCTAATTAGAAGTAACGCAAACACTTGCCTACAGAAACTTTAGATCCCTGCTCCATCCCTGCGCCCAGAATAAACAGTTAACCCCGTCAGTTGACAATTTTGATACGTTCGTCGACACTATTTGCTGTATAGCTTACATTTATTGTTTGTCGCGGAAAATTACGTCCTTCTGTCGTTCCCCAACCCTATTTGTTAGCACCTCCCATCTTCTCCTCACGTAATTTGACGCAACCTTTCAGACCGTACGCCTCGAGACATTCGGTTGTAAGCGCAATACTTAAAGTTAGCTAATCATGCCACCTTATGGAACCGTGTTCATGTCCAGATCTACTTATTTATACAGTTTCTACTTACGGACGGGCACGATCTAAGCAAACTCAGACGATTTAGTCTAGACAGGCCATTAAGCGGCTAGGTTAAACGGATTCAGTGGAGGTTACGCGAACAGGCCAATACTACACACTGTTGAAGTTGCCCAGCTGTGAATGTCTGTCTTTTGAAGGACTCCTTAGGATATGTTCCCCTTTACCCCGAGTCTCAGTCACTTAAAAATCAAGATCGTACCCCCCAGATGTCGCAAAAGAAAGGACAAATTAACTGGGATGAAATGCCGTCACACTGGGAACGGAAGGTGCCATTGGTATACTCCCAGCGTCAGGCTAAGTGCTATACAAATATCTTAAGGGAATTTCAGGGATGGAAATGAACGCTGGTCTACATTGAAAAGTGACTTACCTCATTTTTCGTTAAAAAGTATCTGAAAGGGACGAAATGTACACTGCAACTGATGGACATCAAAATATGCTGGCAAACACTTCACTATACTTGAGGTTTTCAATAAAAAACAGCAAAACTTAATGTAAAAATACGGTTCATAAAATGGAAGCTCTCGGTGTGCCTATAAGGTCTTTCTCACGGGGTAAACCACAAACACGCCTATTATTTGAAAGAAACGTTTTTGTTTGTCCAAAATAAGTAAACAATCGGATTTCGTGGAGTACATTTTGCTATCAGTGTGGAAAATGCGAGTGTGATCCCATAGCGTTTTCCAACTTTTGGAAGATGTTTTTTTATCACTGTGTCTGCCATTGAGATAGCAGGATAAAGCTCTGTTAAGAAGGCGTTAACTAACCTCCAAGATCAATTCGGGCTTGCGGATTGCTTGGGTCTGCGTGCGTAGGACATGTGTAGAATTCCAAGCTCTCCGATACACTCCCTTGTCAGACTACCACAATTTCGTCAGCCTTATTATCCTTGGAGGGATTTCGTGAAAAATGACTTAGAAGTGACTTGTAGTCGTACCTGCAGTTTAACAGACGTTTTTTTCACCCCATCCAGGATTGCATAATTTTCGTCCCTGGACTGCAAACCGGGCTTCAGGGCCATTCGAGCATCTGTACAAACGCTTTCTGACCGTTTCCAGTTTGGTGGGTTTCCGAGAAACAGACTAAGCCTTTTGTAACTGCCTCAAACGCTGCATGGTCTTCACACTTTATAATAACTCAAAATATTTGTGCACGAATCAATCATAGCGGAGAATCACCCAGGCCGAGAAAATGGATTCAACCTGTGAGTCTTAAAGAGAGCAGTATCGATTAATTCGCACAACTGACGGTTGGGGTAGCGATAGCCCAGTCGGTGAGCAATCGGCTCGAACACAGCACGCCGGCGGTTTCACCCTCTTCCTGAAAATGTCACGGCGTGTCAAAAGTCTTGCCTTGAAAGATTTCCGGCTGATCGGAACAACTCAGAACTGAGGGCCAGATTGCGGTGGCTGTCTGTTAAGGTGGCTTCCACGAAACCCCTACCTGCGTGCTATCCGAGACCCCCCCCCCACCGCATTAAGCCTGTCCCTTATGAATTCTGGAGCCAGACGGTAAGTGGTACGCGCAAACGGACCGTCTAGCTCTGCTTGCCACCACGACCGTATCCTTTTCCGATTTTCTTGAGCTTATCGTGCTACTGGAGTATGGTGTTGGGCGAGATGATGGGGCGAATGCGCGCGAGTATACTGTCAGTGGCCGATCTTATGAAGCGTTTACCGAAATGCGTATTCGATTAGAAAGGATCCCTTAAGCGCGGTTGTAATATTGATTGGCTTATATCATAATGCCGGCATATGTCAGGTACGCCAGGCTGTTGGCTTTCAAATGTACCTCTTTTCGGCCGTCCGCTAAAAGCCCAATCGGTAAAAAAGTGACTACTTAATTAGCACGTCTCTCCTATATAGATTTTCGGTGTCCTTATAAATTCAAAAATATTTTGCCAAACAACATGCACAAAAGCACTCATTCGGTAGCGGATCACGGCTTCTTCAAATTTTATGCTCGAAAAGAAGGGTATCTTGGGTTTTAAAAAAGGTTTTTCAATTCCAAAATGAGTTTGAGCTCTATCTGCAGTGGCATCTGCGTTTAGGGATTTAGTCTAATAAGCGTGCACTTCCCGCGTAGTGAAGAACGTCCATTCCTCTACTCCATTAAGTGGATGCCATATATGGTTCATAGAATTTTTAAACAGATGTGGACTGTGTTATATACTCCGTGGGGAGTATTATCGAACAAATAGAGACGATGCTATTTGAATGGAGATTGCATGACCTAAAAAATCTCACAATTGCATACTTTTTGAAACCAAAAGACGTCCTTTCCTCGAGTGTAAACATTAAAAAAGACGTAATTTGTCACCGAATGAGTATAAAAAGAATATTTCTACGCATTTTTTCTACAAAATATATTTAAATTTATATAATCAGCGGAAATAAATAGAACAAATGCCTACAAGTTAAGTAGCAACTTTTACCGAGTGCAGACATTGCACGCGGCCAAAAAGGTGCATTTAAAAGTCAACATTGTGGCGTGACTTAAATATCACGGCATTATGTCGCAAGATAATCCATATTACAGTCATATTCAGGTAATCCTTTCCGACCAAAGGACGTGTTTGAGAGCACCATTTCTCCTAAGGCAGTGATGCTCTTAATCCTACAACTCTCCTCCCCCCGTCTTAGAAACTGCTTTGCAATGGGCAACATGTATCAGAACCGGCGAAATCTCTGAATTAACTTTTTGATTACTTTGCGGTATTGCATCGTCGATAAACATAGAATATAACCTCGTTCTGATTCCTACGCCGTGTCATTATGCCTTTTGATAAGCAACTCACTTAACCTCAATCAGACCAAAACCCCTACAACAACGATAAGCATTTTTAGTATTATTTACTCGTAATCAAAACTTTCCTAAAATGAGTGGAAATATAATTCCAAGAGGCTTCATCCTCGCGGTTATTTGTGTAAAAGCAAAATATATGCACACCGAATTAGCTGGCAGAATAGAGTTCTGTGATGTTCAAAATTTCCGCATCTTTCCGAGTCACCTGCATAAAGTACAGTAGGTAGCGTATCTCATGAAATGTTAACCGAAATTTCTGAAATGTGCATTCTATTAGAAGGGATTACTTTGGTGGGTCTATAAGGCTGATCACCCAACCGCCCAAACCCAGGATATTTCAGCTACACCAGGAGGCCGACGTTTGAAGTCGTATCCTTCCGGCAGTCTGCTAAAAACCATACCATACAATTCTCTTTGTTTGCCATACCCTAATAAAATAAAGCATTTTTTATTGGGGAACGTACCCAAAAAATCCTCTTTGTGCTCATTTGGTAGTGAAGCGCGACTTCAAATTTTGTGCTTGAAGAAAGGCTATCTTTCTGTTTAAAAGAGGTGTGCAATCGTGAGATTTTTGGAGCCTGAAATGTCCATTCAAATGACATCGCATCTATCCATTGTCCATATTAATTAAAAATTTTCATGAGCCTTATATGGTACCTTCATAGAAGCATGGAGGACTGTAAGATTTTTCTTACGTGAAAAAAAAGCAGACAGCCTGTGGTTTGGAAACCGCAAACTCATTTGTAACTGCAGACGAGGTTCAAAATTATTTGAGAATTTAAAGACCAACTTTCCGAAACGTAAAATACTCTTTCATTGAGCATTACATCTTAAGAGGATGTAATTCGGTGCCGAATGAACGCATAAATTATATTTTTTACGTGTTTTCTGTAAAATGTATTTGAATTTGATAAGGACATCGAAAATAACTAGAAGAAACTGTCCGTTCGGATGACGTCACATCTGTTCGTTTGCCGATGTTCCTAATAAAGCATACAACATTGTCCGTATTAATTACAAACTTTTATGAACCTTAAGTGGTACATTCTTGAGAGCATAGAAGACTGTATGAATTTCCTTACGTGGAAAGCTGACAACTTCTTGTTTGGAAAACGCAAGCGCATTTGCAAAATAGGTCCTGTCATGTTACTATTAAAGTTCCTCTTAAACAATTACTCGTGTAAATGGATGTGCGACAATGAAATGCTTCGTACGCAGGGTTAAAAACTTATTTGCCAACGGGGAAGGCGGTAGACTATCACTGGAAGAACCATATGCTGTGGGATTCGAATTAAAACTGAGTGATATTTTATGCTTATTACTAATACCCCTTTACTTAAGTAACCATAACGGGGCCGAGGTATATGTAAGAATTTCAATTAAACGCTTCCCTAACTTCAGCGTATGTTACATCCGCACTGTACCCTCGGAACCGTGGGCTCTGAAATGGTCCCAATTTCCAATCTACTGTATTGGTTATTACATGCGTACCTTACAGAAATAATCACTCACTCATCGGAAACTGAGTTCACAGTTTGTTACCACTGCTATCACTACTACCACTATTGATACTACTACCGCTATTGATACTACTACTACTACTACTACTACTACTACTACCGCCGCCGCCGCCGCTACTACTACAACTGGTACCACCACTAATACTACTATTATCACTACTACTGCCAACAATAATAATAGTAATAATAACAATATTCAGAACAGGAGTCAAATAAAAATGAAACAGCTGATCAATCAGGTACTGCGAAAGGATGGAATGAAATGTGATTCTCATGGAGGCTTTACAATTCCACAGAAGGTGGACATAAATATGCCATTTTTGTGTTTACTACAATGAAGATGAGCACCTTCATCAGAGTGCACCTCGCCAAGGAGCGAAAGGGTTAGGGCATAAGAAGTACCGAGTGCAAAAACCGACTTACCACCCTGCGGATGAAACTGTACAGTTGATTGTCAAATGCCACTAAGCTTCTGACTGCTATTTGTACCAGCTCTCGGTAGACACGAGAGCAGCAATGTCTACTTTGGTCCCCAGGATGCGGCCAATACCGAACAGAGGTGAGAGAGAGAGAGTTTTGGACTTTACCCAGTCACAACCAATGTAAGCGCACATGTGAAGAGTACTAACCGCACAGCCCGACTGTCGGTGAATGAATCCGGAGACTCGCGCGGTAACTGAGTCCAGTGAATGTAAACATGAACCCGGTCTATTAGACGCCGAGATTGAAAAATCGCCGACTGCAATGCTTGGTTGGACTGTCAGAGGGGGAAAAACTGTTGATGGCGGGTGCAGCTAGTTCGATTAAGTCATAAACGATGAAATTGCGGTTTTCACACACCGGAGATAATCCGAGGTACCGCTTAACTGGGATATGCTTTCACCCTCGATCATACTCCTGAAATAATCAAGTTTGGCGGAAACAGTGTCAAAATTGTGCTTTCTTTAGTTGTTTTGTGGTAAATGACAGCTTTTCATAATTGAAAAATGGGGTAATCTGGTTCAAAAATTGGTCATTTGACACTTTTGGCTCGCTTTTGTAGCTCCATCT